ATTATTAAATTTAATTATTAAATAAAAATTTCTATAAATTAAAAAAGAATTTCAATTTCAATAAAAAAGATCTCCTTAAGAGATCAATCTTTTAATCAACATTAAATTTAAAACAAATTTTTTTTGGATGTTTTATTAGTTTACTTTTTTATGATTTTACAATAATATGTTATTCATGATCGGCTGCAGAAAGTTTTGTATGGAACATCTGCAAAATGTCATTCGTAGGCAGGATAACGTAACAACACATTTTTAAAATGTTTTCAGAAACTAGCTTAATCAGGTTATTTCAGAAACACGTGGCCATGATAAACCGGAAAGAGCGAGTACGACACGCTCGAGTTGCAGGTTATAAGGTTTATTCAACTCGTGGGACAATTCACAGAACGGTGACTTTATCCTTCTATTGACTTCGACGACACCAAGTCGCGAATTCTTGGAATTGCACGCCCATATATATATATATATAGAGTACGTAATAAAATCTGTACATCCCAATTTCGAGATCCATTTCAATGAAATGCGGGCATATTTCTAATCTAGTCTTAGTCAATGAAAGTCGCAGTTTTTCTAGGAAGGCTCCGACTAGCTTTCCGCAATTGCGTGTACTAGCCGTTCATCGATAACTATCGTCGTGAGATGTGTACTAAATTCGTGGAATCACTGGCATATTTTAATTAATCTTTCTATTCTGTGAAAACATTTCTTATTGAATGAAACAATAATACGTCAATTATAACGCGCCAATTGATATGACATGCGGTTCCTAATTCATGAGAATTTTTCTCTTTCTTTTATATCATAAAATTACTGTAAATATGAGATTTTTTAGAAGAATATCTGTTTCTTGTCTTCGATTAAATAGAAAATTCCAGTTTGTCATCCTTGAGATATGTTTGGGAACGCTTAGCTGCATATACTACTCATGGATGCGGACCAGTAGTAGCATCAGTGTTGAGTCAGACGTCTCGAACGTCGGATCTCTCGCTGCTAAATTCTTGTTCATTCTTTTTTATTATTTCTTTTGAAGAAAATTGCTGGTATTCAGTGGACGATTTATTAATCTAGGACATCATTTAAGGATATTCTCGTTATGCCGAACTACCGAAGGATCCTTAAATTGTTACTTCGACGGATTTATAGGTATTTATATATATTATTTTCTGTTCTTTTGTGATATTATATCTAGATGGTTAGATGGTTGCAAATAAGGTGACTGATACAATAGATAATTATTTCTATTATTAATTATAATTGTTTCTATTATTTTCATTAGAATCCCAATGAAATTATCAAATGTGTTTTATGGCGGCGCTTGTTGGCGCCAGACGTTCGCATATATTTATGGTATGTCCCCTTCTCCTTCTTCTCCTTCTCCTATTCCTCTCATGCGCTTTCAATGTCGGTGTTATGATTCCTTCACTAACATATACTTTCATCCATACGCAACTTCTTCGTGTATCTTTGAGAAGGATCACGATTTGAGAACTTGCCAACGTAATACTTGGTTTATTCTGAGTTGTGTTCTGAGACGTGTTTCTTTCGATTTTCTTGCCGTTGTCTTTGACTAATTTTCACAGACATGAACGTTGTTCCAGATAGATTCTCCGAAGGTTTTCGTTCAATGTTCTCGGCGCTATTCTCTTGCAGACGTTACTACATTTCATAATTTCACAGTGATTCAGATTCTTTCTTTACAAAAAGATAAAAGCTCTTACAAAATTTTACAATAAATGATTGACTTTTTTTTAAATTTAAGAAATAATGATTTCTAAAGCAATTATTTAGAAACTATTCTAGAAAAAAAAGATTTTTTTTTTTATTATAATAGTGTATATAAAATCGTATTTTTATTTCTATAAAGCGAAATATTAAAAATGCTTTAAAGAGCTTATATAATTTTTTTCTTGTTGTAAAAAATAAAAGTTTTTTCCAATTTATAGAATTAAAAAAAATCATTTAAAATCTGCAGATTTTTATCACGTAGATTTTTTTAAAAATAATTTATAATTAATTTTTTATAGAACAAAAAATTGAAAAAAGCTTTGGCAATATTAGTTGAAATTGTGCATCATATAATTGCGTAAGTGTTGATCATCATCACGATTCGTATATTTGTTCGACTTCTATATACCTACGTGACTTATGTGAGGTTGTCAATGGGTGAATCTTTAAATCTTTCGTTCGTGACATGCAATTGATTAATCAGAAAAAACGATCTGATTGCGACTGGCCACGATCTCTGATCGCTACAATTTACGATCAGGTCGATTGACGCAAATATTTGCTCAAGCGTTACTTACGAAAACATCGAGGCTCTTTTTGCTGCCGAATTCTCCGTAAGTTTTTTCATGTTCGCTTTCATGCAGTTGAAAGAAATGTATTATTGTGCGAAATGTTGAAGTTTTGATCGAAAAATATATTGTCCGAAAGTTCATTATTTGATGACTGACAAAACTTGTATGTTTTGAAAAGATTTAAAAAGAGATTCAAAAGAAATCAAGTAAAGTCAACAAACTACATTCAAATTTAATTTTCTGTTTTATTATGTTGAGTTTATTAATACATAATTACGTTAGGATTATATATGTATTAAAATTAAAATAGGTTAATTAATCTTAAGTATTTAATTTTGTATTTTGCTGAATTTATTGATACATTTGGTTTATTTATAGAATAGATGTGTTTATAGAATTCAATTAAAACTTATCTTTTTGTGTAAATTGTAGTTATTAGCAAATAATTATATACATGGTAAAGTCGCTTATTATGAGGTACCTTTTTTTAAAAGCTTGTAATTTAATTTGTAATCTTAATTTCTACCTTCATATTAAATTTATGGAAAATATATTTAACAATGATTAAATAGATGTGAAAGAACTTCAAGCAAAATGCTAAATCATATTTGCTAATATTTAATAATATTTGCTATTTGAACATTTCAACAGACGTTTCGACCAATTATCATTTCATCAGATCATTTTCAATGTTGAATAAATAATTTGAATATGTATATGTTCCGAAATTGATTCTAATAAAATTTTAAAAATTACAAAAAAAAGAAATAGTAATCAGACGCATTATTTTCGTCCGCGTAAAATATATTTAAATTTTGTCGCCAAAAGTTAGTAGCCAAAAGATAATAGTTATATTTTGTTGTATGTGAAACTTTTATCAAAAGTTCCAATTTTGATCATTCAAAAAAAAAGTTCCTAACATGAGATACAAGGATTTCCTTATAAGTAGTACCTTATAACAGGAAACTAAAAAAAAAATAAAGATAAACTTTTTATACACGTTTTTATTATATTACACAAAAGTAGGAACAAAAATTTTAATGTTATACATAATAATTATATAATTTTTCGATGAAAGTATAAGTGAGTGTGTGTGTGTGGATATGTGTGTGAGAAATCTCAGCAATAATAAAATTGTCAATGAACATATCGATGATATGCTTTATTATATTGAATTATTTAGATGCTCTCATATTAGCTAGAAATACTTCGAGTATCTCATATTATGACTTTCACTTTCTTGCAGTTTCACACCAAATCTAATCTTTACAGTTAAACAAATCATTATATCACGTGTTTTTCTATCACGATTCTATTATGATCTTACTCTATCACTGCGTGCAGGTCTAATATTTATTTTTATATAATAAAACAATTTAAGACTAACCTATCACTAAAATTTGACAACATCCAATTTTACAAATTTCATCATCATTTTTTGCAATAACTACACGCATGATCTAATGAATTTTCTATTAAACAGGTTTTACATTAAGAGTAAAAAGTTCATGATAAAACCAAACACATACGCTTATTAGTTTAACAGAAACCTCGCTCTCATATTGGGACTATAGTCTATCCTATAATAGGCGACCTTACCCTAAGCTATTAAACTCACTGATCAAAATCTATTTTTATTATTAATTCAAATATGAATAAAAGTCTATGTATATCTTTAGATTATTAAATAATTCTCATTTTTTTTTAACAAAATAATTGCATTTTCAATATGTAAAAATAATACTTAAATTATATATATTAAGTCTAAATAGTATTACTTAGTAGCTAATACGTAATAATTATTTACAATAACGAGAACTTACGATACAGAATTAATGGAATGACATAACAAAAAAGAAACTTCGCATATTTGAAAAACCGAGGGTCATCAGAATTTAAGAAACTCAAAAGCCTATAAATATTGTTAATAATATTATCCGCATGTTAAATTCAGATACACAAATTAATATTTAATATAATACAACATAACACTGAATAAGACATAGATTTATCAATTAGGTAACCATCAATAAATAATTAAGGATTCGCTATAAGGGATAATACGATGATTTCCCATAGAGAGCAATAAAAGAGAAATCGTCGCGCGATTAAGAGGCTGGATATCATCTAAACGAGTCTAATAGAAATCTACGAATAAATAGCTCTAATATAATAGTATCGCTTCCACATTATAATTCTGTGTAAACGCACGGGTAAATGTGAAAAAGAATAGAAAGAGGAAAGCTAATAGAAGAGAAGGATCCAGTCATAAGAGCCTACATTTCGCTCTAGCGAAATTATCTTTCGATCTATTTGCTTCCAGAAAGCGTCAGGTTACATTAGTCGCGCTCGCTAGTTAAATACTCGTATTCGCGAGCATTTTCAACTTGCGTTTATGATCGATAGATAGTTTATGAGATAATACATTGCAAGAATCGTTTATCGTTAAAATGATAAAAAATATAAAGAAAAATTTCAGGTAAAAATCTCTTATTTTAATTTGATGCCATTGACAATTTTTACCACAACGTTTTTAATGCTTGATTATAATGGGCCGTTGCGAAAATCATTAAATGTATTGTTCTTTACGAATAATCGAAAAATAGTGGAAAAATGGAAATGACATATGCGTGTACACTTAGGCACAAATTACTCTACGCAGCATTTCAGTAATAATTCAATATATTAGGCAGACAAGGTATATTTGCAGTTCCTTATTTCATTCATGGTGAAAATAGGTTTGCACAATTCAATTTACCTCCATTTTGGTCTAGCAAAATTCGTATCTTTCAGTCCAGGGAACTCATTCATCATAATACACGGGAAAGCAGTAACTACATTCTCGTGTAAGCTAGTGCTTTTCAACTTAGTGAAGAACTCATTTGTGAGACTACGCAAACGAGTAACTTCATTTTTAACTCAAAAACCGGATGTACCCTAGATTCCGTTAAGAAAAAGAAGTATAAAGGATAGATTCGCGGATATA